TTAATGTTGACGGATCAAATTAAACGTCGGAGTAAACAGCGAAATTCGCAAACACTTCGTGGATGAGTGGCCGAGTAAATATCTTCTGCCGAACTAGTGAAGAAATTAGATGATATGAAGCAGTACGAAAGTCCGTAAAAAAACCAACAGGTTTTACTAAAAATACCGAACAGGATTCAAATATTAAAAAGAAAGGAAAAAAAGGAGAATTTTCAGATCGAGTACGGTCGCCATGATAATGTTTCGAAAGAAAAAAACCTGCGGAGAAATGGAAGTCAAGTGTTTTCGAAAAAACGGAGAATACCTAGATGTTATGAATGTAATTCAGATAGTCATCTCCGACCTCAGTGTCCTCGGTTAAACAAACAAGAGGCCGCTGAAGCTGTAAACAAACTAGGCACTTCAGGATCTCCAGATACATGGCTAGCTCCCTATATGAGTATAGCGAGAGTAAATAATCGAGAAATGCCTGTACTCCGAGATACTGGCTCCACTATCGATCTGATCGGATGGGACCAAGTAACACATCAGATGCTTCTAGGAGAGACAGTGTGGGTTAAGCAGCCGCTAGATTTACATCCCTTGTGTTTACCCTTGGCTCGAATTGATTAGAGGGGAGAGGACTTTGGGAAAGTCATTACTAAGCCGCAGTGATTAGCTCCGACCTGAATCAAGAATATTATCTGCTGGGAAATCGAACAGCCCGATTGATAGAAACAGAAAAATGCAGCCCCATAAATCAATGCTGTTAATACTCGCAGTCAAACGAAAGCTTGCAGCAGGAAAGAAAATTCCCCTAGCCAAGGTCCAGAGAACAAAGAAGTTGAGCGCCCCGCGGGGCGAATGAATGACGAGGAGGAGGGTGAAATTTTCCCCGTCCAGTCAGCTAACGCTCGAGGCAAAGAAAGGGTGAAGTGTCCTTACCGTTCGGAGAACAGGTCAAGAAATGGACAAATCAAGATAACAAAAGCGGTCATTAACCCACGAAGTGCATGGAATTCTTTAGATTTACGAAGAAAGCGAAACATTTCTATGAAAAAAACGCTGGTCCGTCAGGACGAATTTTCGTCTGGAATCCCGGAAGAAAGAACTCGGAAAGAAGAAGTGCAGGAAGACCCCCGGAGCGTTTTCCATTCACGATGTGCTGTTCGGAAATCTGAAACTGAACATCGAAATCGAACAGATCACTGGCAAAGTAGTTTTCAAGATAGAAACACAAATATTTAGCCGTAAGTGGGAAACCCATAGACATAATGAAAGCTCATAGGTGCGAAAGCCCACCAAATAAATTGAGATTTTATCTGAATTAGGTACCAATAGGAGCCGACAACTTGTTTTGAGTACAATAATTTTTTGTTTGTTTTGTTTATTGTAGTACTTTGTATTTTGTATATTGAGTGTTGATCCTTTTAGAATTACTTAGGATTTTATTGTGTTCCTTAGCTTTATAGTACAGTTGCAGCCTTGCAACTTTGAGGTAGTTTAACGCCCAGGCAAATTGAATAAAAATGCTGATGGGCTGAGTCGTTTCGAAGCGGGCAAAACATAGAGTGTAAAGAGATGATCATGCCAGTTTCTTATCTGGATAAGTATTTTGTATACAGTAAAAGTGTAATATAAGAATATATCATCAGTTATTTTGTCCCTTTGTTAAGAATATTTGTGATGTGTATATGTATATATATACAAGGGCGAGTCAAATGAAAGTGAGCCAATGCGAATATATGACAAACAGAGTACTTTATTTAAAGGTAGTCTCCATGAGCATTGAGACGTTTATCCCATTGACAAATGAGCTGCGTGATCCCCGTCTCATAAAACTCCTTGGGCTGTCGATTCAAAAAGTCTGTAACCGACTCCTTCACGGCGGCGTCCGACACGAATCTGGTACCCTTGAGGTGTTTTTCAGTTTCCCCGAAAATGTGAAAGTCGCATGGCGACAAATCTGAGCTGTATGGAGGATGTTGCAGCGTGTCCCACTTGAACTTTGCCAGTTGTGTCTTAACCACATCAGCGACGTGGGGACGAGCATTGTCGTGTAGCAAGATCACACCATTCGTCAATCTTCCAGGTCGTTTGTTCTTGATTGCGACACGCAGCCGATCCAGCGTTGCACAATATCGCGAACTATTGATAGTCTCTCCACGTTTAGCAAATTCAATCAGTAATGGCCCCTGACGATCGAAAAAAAAAGTCAATAGCACCTTTCCCGAGGAAATGACAGCCTTTGCTTTCTTCGGGGTGGTGAATTCAAATGTTTCCACTGTAAGCTTTGGCGGCGTGTTTCAGGTTCGTAGTGGTGGCACCATGATTCGTCTCCTGTCACAATTGCAGACAAGAAGTCGTCACCCTCATTGTGATACCAGATGAGATGAGTCAAAGCAGCGCCGAACCTCTCCGTCTTCTGGCGGTCGTTCAAAATCTTGGGCATCCATTGAGCACACAAAAGCCGATAACCGAGATGATCATGAATTATGGTGTGAACCGAACCGTGACTGATGTTGACACGCTCTGCCAGTTCATCGATGCTTATCCTCCGTTCTTGTCTAATCAGCTCATCAACCTGTGCAATTGTGTCGGGGGTGATTGCAAGGTGGCTTTGGCCTGGTCTTGGATCGTCTTTGCAACTTTCACGTCCTTCTCTGAACCGTTTGCTCCAACGCTTCACAGTGGCCAATGCGATGCAATGTTCACCGTACACAGCAATCATACGGCGACTAATTTCATGTTGGGAAACACCTTCAGCTGTCAAAAACCTGACCACACCACCCTGTTCCTCTTTTGGAGCGTCCATTATGTCATGCTACCGTCTTCAACCCAGTGTAAGAGCGCCTTAAAGAATTTTAACCTCACACTTTCGCGCCACTTTCGTAAATGAAGGTTGTCTCTGTGCTACGCGCATGCGCCGCAGATGATGGACCGAACCATTCTTGCTTAAGAGGGGTTGGCTCACTTTCATTTGACTCGCCCTTATATATGTGTGTGATTCTGATTTTAAATATCCTATTAAATTCTCGCCTCTAAAGTTAATGCCTTATTGACTTATATGTGAACTTTTCAATAGTGACATTACTAGTACTGTTATTAATCAATGTAGCTGTGTTCCTGTAAAGGTGCGTTTGAAAGTGTTATCGAGAGAACAGTTTATTTCGTGTCATTTTTTAAATTAGTGAAATGATGAGGAGAACTTTCCTCTTCGTTTCAACTCGAGAAAAGTTCTTCCGAAGGGGGAAGGAATCTATAGCTGTAACGTCGTCAGCTATTTTCCCACGGACTCCCACGAAGTCTGGGAAAAGGAGACTTCAAATGGGCGCCAGATGACCACCCTGATGACACTTACGAATTCTTGAGGTCGAACGTGACCCCCAACAAAGTGCGGAATATAGATGATAGACTGTCGCCAACTGCCTGTTTCTCGAAATAATTTAGATAGACCTCCCAAAAAGACGTTCTGTATTTTCCCACGGAAATTTCAGTTTCTCAGGCTGTCAAGACAGTATCTGAGAACAAATCAGCGCCTGTTAACCAATGGAGAGGTGCTCCGAAAAAGACGTTTAGCGAATCACTGCCGCAGACACACAAGACACGCCCAGAAAAACCTGGACATAAAAACAGTGAGTGAAAGTAATTAGAGAGATTTAGTCTGAAGAATACGCAGTCGATGCGTAGAGAAGAGAGAACCTTTCTCTTTTATTTTACGGCTCTTCCCGAGTCGCTAGTAAGCTTTAGAGAGCCCCTTTCTCTCTTGTGTATTTTACGGCTCGTCCCGAGTCGCTACTAAGCTCTGTCAAGAGCGGAAAAAGAAACTCTCAAAGAAGCGTGGCCGGACTTTTTCTCCGCTACCTCTGTTTGGACTTTGAACTCAAGTGATTATCGTTTCCTATTGTAAACGGGCTATTTTGCTAAGCAAACTACTTTGTTATGATAAGCAGTTGAACTTACCTTAAAATTCAACTTGTATAATTTAACACCTACCTTTCATTATTTTATTTACGCTACCCAAAATAAAAATCTGACTAGACGATAGATGATACACAGAGACAAGCTATGATGTGTGTTAGCCAGAGCAAAGCAAAACGGAAAAAGTAACTGCATATTCAGAAGAAGGACGAGAAGTATTAAGTTTTGCTTTCAAAAGTACAAATATTTTTCAGTGATTGGATAAGCAGCATCTGCATTGCAGCCTATGTAAAATCTAATGATCTTTTTTTAATTTTGAAATGATGCAGTTTAAACTGATATGTTGTGAATAGTTATTATTTTTAGAACAGAAAATGAAAGTGGCCACTTAAAATGGAGAATAAAGGGGCTATTGCAAAATTGTGTGTGTGTAACTTATGAAATACGCATAAAAAAACTTACTTCATAAATAAATGCAAGTTTTATAAATTCAGAAATTCTCATGCAGAATAATTTCAGCATTGTTGGCTGAGACTGGCAAAAATTTCCTCACAGAATAGGAAAAAAATTAGATCATACATCACAATATTTTTATAATTTACTGGAATTTTTGATGATCTGTTTTCAATAGCTTAGCAACTTTCAAATAAATATACTTAGGTAGGAGAAACTATTATTGACATATTTCCTCGCTTGAAGTCATGTCCTGAATTTTCTTCATTATATCAATAGTTGTCTCCTGAAATTTATTACATTATGCACTTGTTTTATAATATACTAATAATTTTTTCATCATAAGATATGGATTGATGTTTTAAAATGCAATAACATTAAACATTAATTAAAAAAAAAGATGTGATAGGATTGATTTTTCAGACTATTTATTCACTGCAAGTTTTCTTTATCCCCTTTTTTTGTTTGTTTTGTTTTAAAAAAAGTTTATTTGGAAACAAAATGTCTTTTCCTTCTACTATTTTTTCATTATTAAAAAATTCTTTTTATTGTACTTTTAATGAGTTTTATAAGTTGCAATTTTTTTGTTTCTTAAACGTTTGTAATTTATTCTAGTTTTTACAAAACACTGCTATAATTTCTTACAGATTCTTGCTGAAACAGCTAAAAAACTTGAATTTCCACATCATGAATCAGGCACAATTGTTGTAATTGAAGGTCCCCGTTTTTCTACGAGAGCAGAAAGTCATCTGTTTCAGTCTTGGAATTGTGACATCATAGGCATGACCACTGTACCAGAAGTATGAAATTGTTAAATATAAATTTTAAACACAAGTTTTCCTTTTTATCTGAAAGTAAAACATTCCTTTGAAACTCTTCATAAGCTTACATAGCATCACATGAAGAATCACTATTAATTTGTAGAAAATGAAGAAATATTTAAACATTTCTTTTCTCAAATAAAGCATAAAATAAAATTAATATTCAGAAACTGCAAAAATGACATACTAAATGTACAGCTTATAAAAAAGTAGAAATAATATTGTGTGTTTATAGTTTATGTAACAAGGGACAGAAAAATTATTAACATGTGAAAAAACTACCCTATGTTTCATAGCATTTCCAACTCAACCACTGTTGTATTCTTATTCTCTGAACATAAAGGTTTATCATCCGTTATGAGCAAAGTGGGAAACTTGAAACATAGCACAGTGTTTGATGTTATAAAAATAATAAAAACCAACTACCATGTCAATAACTGTGTTCTGATTAATCGCTGAAGTATTGGGAGTACTGTGTTATTAACTCCAAATTGTACGTAACAGCTTGTGATATGCCATATTGCTGCAAAATGTCAAAAACTGCTAATTTTATGCCAAAATGCCATTACATAACTGAAACTTAATATCAATGCTTTTAGGAAATTTTGTACATCTATCCTGCCAGATTGAAAATCAAAATCTTTTCTGTTTGTCTTCTTTGAAATTTACATCAGATTATACTGTTGATGCTGATTTGTTAAATTTCTTTTTTGTGGCTTAGTCATCCTGCTGGTATGTGACCCTTAGTGACTGCCATAGCGATGGGCCCAGGTTCAAATTGCGGAGAAGGCATGGTTGTGATTGTCCATCCCTTCATAGAAGGCAATGGTGGCCATCTATCAGGTGCTTCAATAATAAAATGGCTGCCACTTCCAGCTCTTGTAATGGCACAAGGTTAATGGCTATTAAATGAAGTACTCATCCATTAAAAAAAGAATCACTAGCTTAAGAAATGCTACTTTAAGCTTTTTCTGCTGCTACTTTAAGCTGGATTAGGATTTAAGAATTCTGGTAGCATTTTTGAATTGTAATGTTATTCATTATCATGATACATATTGTAAATTCTATTTTATAAAACTCTTGTGATGATTTAAATCTATTAATTAATTGTTGTTCAGTTTTGCACTAAATATAGTAGTTGAGTTCTGGGTACATATATTGAAAGTTGTATTTCATGTTTAAATCTTTTGACTTTGTGAGGTAATTAAAATTATCAATTAAAGAATAAGTTTTTCTGCTTCCAAGGGATTTTCATTTTTAATAAGCTTTTTAAAAATTTCATGGAAGTTGTTTTAAATCTAGCAGTGCTAAAAGCATCTTGTTATTCACTTATGAAAGTATTCTTTTCTTATAGGTAGTACTTGCAAATGAGCTCGGGCTGTGTTATGCAGCTGTTGCCATGGCTACTGACTATGATTGTTGGCGTTATGATGAATCATCTGTAAGTTATCATTGCATCATATTTAGATTCTCTATTTAATTTTGATTATTAATAATGTGTTTTTTAGTTTGTATGTTACTGTTCATTTATATAATTTTTGCTGTTTGTGAAAAATGTGTTATTTTAAAGTTGAAATGAATGAAATTGCCTCTTTCCTCTCTCCATATTTAGTAAATCTTTCAGCCTTTGTAAAAATATGAAATAAGCCTTTGAATAATGTGCAATTTTCCATGAAAAATGTAAGGTGTGATTTACAAATAAATTTTCTGATTCTCATTCTTCAAAACAAAGGTTATACTAATATGTTTTAGCATATGAATAATGTGAGGATTTAAAAAAAAATTAAACCAGTTTGCTGCCTAAATAAGTGATAAAATTATCTATTTAGTAGTGATAAGTTGCCTTAATAAATATTGCAATTCAGTTTTAACAACCAGGATGATCAAGCTAAAAATGTTTTAGGAATCAGTTGTACCAAACTGATATAAACCAGCTGAAACCCACCACTGGAATTCATCGATGGATTCAATTCATATAATAAATTCAATAAATGATATGTTACATATGATTCAATAAATGATGCATGCACATAGTGCAGGTAAAATAATAATGTGTTTTATGAAAGAAACATTACAAAATCCCTTGAAATATGTAATAAACATGATTATAAAAATATATTGGAGAAGAATTGCATGTAAAGTCCTAGATAATGGCTGTAACATTAGTACTGAAATGTTAATTAACGCGTTGATGCGGCCTTACCCACCAGTGGGTCATATTTGCTTGTTCCATGGGGCTGCTTGATTCTAACTTGTTGCTAACCTTCATGCTTGATTGTTCCGTGGTCTGGCATGATTCACTGATGGGTTATGCTTGTATATCAAAAAATACAATTATTACATTATATTATAAAATTTATAATTTTATAATTTTTATTTTAAAATTTTATAATTTGGTGCCACTCTACGAAACAGACCGCTAATTCAAGCACCACCGCATGAAAAGAACAATGCATACCTGCGCTGCCATCAACGTGTTAAGGTATAAAATTATAATCGATAAAGATGCTGATAGCTTTTGTATCAAATATTAATAGTTAAAATGTTTAATTTCATAAAGGTTTATATTTAGAATTTCCATTAAGATGAAAATGAAATTATTGCTACTAACATCATGAACCCTGAAGGATGTCACTAAAGAGTTGTTTTTGTGACAAGGTAAAGTATTTCACTGTCATGACTTGAACCCAGGCTCTGTCCTTCAAAATTTTTAAATAAAAAATGATGCAAAGAGAAAAATAAACTGGAAATAAAGCAGAATTTTATACATAAAATATGTGAATGTAGGTTAATAGACAGTAATTTGGGGCAGGAATAAGATATGAAATGGAAAAGTGTATGCAATTGTTTTCCCTAATTCATATTTATTATTGTAGTTTTTTATTAGTATGTTATAATGTATACTAATATTTTATGATTATGTTATAATTGTTTATAACATATTAAAAACATTGAAAATACACTGAATATCAAGGCATATTTCCAACCTTAAATGCTAAGGACTTTTAAGATGGTCATTTTTCAAAAATAATTTCTCAACCAAAGTTGAGAAAGTGCAAGCTCATTAACAGATGGAATCAACAGAAATTCAGCACAACTCAACTCTAAAGCAAAAATTCAGTGAAAGTTGTCTCCTTGAAATTTACAAATCCCTGGTTCCAAGAAAATCGTAAATTTTGCATCATGCATAATTTCTATGTTTGTTATTACATAGTGTGTTTTTTAAGCGCGGGCTGTTTTGTTGTATACACTAATAAATGGCATACACATCACAATGAGTGCTTGCATCATGTCCCGGCATTCCTTAGAAACAACTATGCTCAGTTGCTGCTGTGTATGTAATCTTTATGGTCTGTTCTGTGTCTTTAAAATGCCGTGCACGTCACAATGAGTGCTTGCATCATGTCTTGGCATACCTTGGAAATAATTATGCTCAGTTGCAGCTATGTAGGTAACCTGTACGGTGTGTTCTGTGTCTTTAAAATGTTCAAGATTATCAAATCGTCCACCCCGTGTGAGGTACGCTCAGTGATACCTTTTTTGTCAGCAAGAAGCCTGTCTACTGCAGACATTCACTGGCAGATTCATGAAGTTTAAGGAGCTACTGCCATGAGTGAAGGCAAAGTGCGTAAGTGGGTCAGAGACTTCAAAAGCTGACTGCAACAACATGCATGATGAGTCCGACTCCAGTCACCCATCTGTAATCACAGACGATATGGTGGCTTCAGTTGAAGTGAAAATTCTTGAAAACAGAAGCTTTACCATAAGCACTCATGAATTTTCTGAAGTGTCTAGGTCAGTGCTGTATAAGGTTGTTTCTGATTTGTTAAGGTTTAAGAAACTGTGCTCCCATTGGGTCCCTAAACGCCTAACGGAGGACCACCGAAACAAAAGAGTTGAGTATTTGCTCAATTTTTTTATTCTTTGTAATGAAAAGGGTGATGCAATGTTGAGTTGGATCGTAACAGAAGACGAAACATAGGTTTCTCATGTCATGCTGGAATGGAAGCAACAGAGCATGGAGACCACTCTCTCTACTGTAAGGGTCAAGACCAAACAGACTCTGTACCAGCACAAGATCATGGCATCCGCATTAAGCACTGTGTTTTGTTGGTTACCTTCATGCAATGCGGAACCACCATAAATGCAGTAGCCCATGGCCAAACCTTGCGAAAGCTACACAGAGCAGTTCAAAACAAAAGACACTGCATGCTGACAGAGGGAATTTTGCTACTTCATGACAATGCAAGGCCTCACATCACAGCTCAGACCCAAGCTTTATTGGATTCTTTTGGCTGAGAAGTTTTGGACCACCAACCCCTCAGCCTAGACTTTGTGTCAAGTGATTTTCATCTTTTCTGCTATTTCAAACGTCAAACGCAGCCACTAAAATGATAGGAAGACGTGGAAAAGGCCGTTACATCTTGGCTGTTGGAGCAGGCAGCAAGTTTTTATGAAGAGGGTATTCAAAATCTAGTTCTAAGGTAAGTGTTTAAACAAACTTGGCAACTATATTGAAAAATAGAGAAACGTATGTAGATTCTGGAAATAAATTTCATTTTGGAAAATTTTCTTTCGCTCGGTTTTTATTTTCAAACAGCTCTTACTTAAAAAACATCCCTCATACATACCAGGGAACAGCTTTTTTAACTTATTAAAAAAAAACTGCTTTAAAGAGAGCTATTCATTCTGCACTGAGTGAAAAAAATTTGGACATCTATATCTATTCTAATTGGCTGATCGATGAAATTCATCTTATATTTTTCATACCTGGAAAATGCAACTGTTTTTATAATATACATATTGTTACAAAATGTACAGGTGCGGTAAGATGGCTTCCCTGCAAAGCAGTTTTAGGGTTGCCATAAAAATGGCAAGAGAAGGCAGGATTGCCACATTTGGCAAGAAATTGCCTATTTGGCTACAAAATTGGCGATACGCCATGGATGGATGGAGAACCTTCTGGAACAAATTCTTACCAGTTTAGCCCATAATGTCCTCAAACACCAGCTGAAAGCTATATAAACTCTGCTGGCCCATAGTCAGCCCGTAGTTAGTGTGTGCCTCGTCTGGACTGTGAGATAGTTAGTATCGAGTTGGTGTCTCGTCTAGCGAGTCAATCCCTTCCGAGTCGATCGAGTTGTCAGCCGTGCAGCGATTGCCGAGTGGGTCGTCAAGTGCACCAAAAGAGTCTCGTAGTCTATCGCTGTTAATGCATCATCGACAGAGCGTGTTGAGCTCCGGGAACGACTGAACCGAAGAGTTGGGAGCCATGTTCTGTGTGTTGCCCAGTGCATCATGAGTTGTAGCGTAGAGAGTCTCGAGAGTACGTGGAGTTCCAAGAATCACCGAGCAGAGTCGGGAGCTGTTCTCTGGTGCTTTGCAGTGAAGCTGTCCCCAACGTGATAACCTGAAAGCTGTGTGGCTGATCATGTCAGCGTGTTTATAGTAGTTCATCCATGACTGTAAAACGTGTTTTGGAGCTGTCCTGACAATACTGGCAAATAAAGTGTGTTTCGATACTTCATCAAGTGTCGTCGTTATTCACTCCAAATCTACGAACCCCATACGAATGTGAAGGAAGAAAATAACGTAACAACTGGTGTCAGAAGATAAAAACAGAACAATATTTTGACACAAAATCAAGCTTTTTCTGAAATGATACACCAGTTGTTTTCCATATTTTGATTCTGCAACTAAAAATTATGCCAAAATTCCAAGTTTTATAAAAAATCACAGCAGCATTTTTTTAATTAGCACTCAAAATTTTAAGTCTGCAATTTTAATTGAATTTCGAATATATTTATTAATATCTCTTTCTTTAATTAAATTTACTTGATTTCTTTATTCAAAATTTGAAATTTAGACTCATTCCAAAAAAATTTCACACTTTTTATTTCAAAATTTGTATTTTAAAATAATTTTATAAATTTTTCAAACAAAATTTAGATTATAACCTATAAAAATTTTAATATCATCTTAAGCAGACATATTTCTAGGCATACATGCAAAAAATTAGAGAATTTTATTAAATTCTTCAGAAGTAATTTATGTAACGTAAATTTATGTATTGGTAGGTTTTGAAATCTGGCATTTATAATCTTGCCACTATTATTTTTAACCTTCAACATCTAGATAATTTTTTACAGAAAATTATTCATATGGAATTTATTCTAGTTTTTACTAATGATGCATAATAAATATTTATTAATGAAACCAAGAATTTTTTTTTATAATTATAAGAATATTGATCAAAATTTTAATAAATTGTTTTCCTCTATCTTTTTTTAATGTTTCTAAAAGTAAATTTTTACCTTTGCTGTGTTATCTACTGTTTTTACTTCAACTTCATTTAAATTGAATTTTCTAAAATTCAGAAAGTTGGTTCGATAACAAACTTTAAAAATGTAATTCATTAATTAAAATGATACAGTATTTTAA